TGGCTAGCAGTCGGAATCGACTCGCTGGCCGTGAATTGGGCTGAGGTGGGTGATTGAATGATGTCCGGTTCATAGACAGGGAGGCTGAGGGTTCCCAACAGTGATCACCTTGTCACAGGTCACAGAGAGAGCAAGGCAACGAGTGGGGAGTTATCAGCAGGTGGGCTTCAAGCTCCACCTTGGGCCCCATCTTTAGGAGCTGTGAGGATCTGGCGGCGTGGGGGCAGGGAGGCTCGGGCTGGAGCAGCCCTCTCTAAGCAGCAGCACCTCCCTGGGGTGAGTCAGCCAGGCTCGGCTCAGAGCCCAGCTCATCCACTCTTTGGGGTGGAGGCCATGGGTAAACACCTTCATCCCAGGATTGTGATAAGAGATGTATGAGCCCCTAATAAAATGATAAAAAATAAAAAAAAACCACCTTCATCTCTACATCTTCCTCTGTCGCCCCTGGCTCAGAGCTTGGGAGATCCTTGATGAAATGAATGAGCAAATGGCTAATGACAGGGCTATGTGAGAAAGCTCAGCAGGGTATCAGGCAAGGATTTGTGCCATGTCAAAACACAATGCTGTGTAGTGTGCACAAGCATGAGAGGTGCACACAGGAGAATTACAAACATGTGGAAAGAGGGATGTTCTTCGTTGCTTTATGTGCCAAGAACCAAACGTGGCCAGCCAGTGCTGCACCGTCTTCCCGAGACCACTGGTGTGCGTCAGCCCCGCTCTTTGAGGCTTTCCTTCATTTCCAGTAGCCGTCTCCTGCCCCTGTAGCAGTCAGTCTTTCCCGGTGCTGTGTCCCAGGCGAGAGAACCAACAGCCACCGCCAATCTCATGCCCACGCAGCGTGCCTGTTGCCTGCCTCTCTCGTCTTTCATCTAAGTACGGCAGTCTGTCAACAAAAGGGTAGGGTGGAAGAAAAAAGATACCTAAACTAAGGTGACCAGACGTCCCGCTTTTGGCGGGACAGTCCCGATTTTTGGCGTTTTAAAAAAGTCCCCGATTTTTGGAAAGAATGCAGGACAAGCTAGGGAACGGTCTATTTGGTCCATATTGACCACATTTTTAATCAAGAACCACCCCCACCCCCAGTCAATGGTGTCCCGCTTTAAATCTGGTCACCTTAACCTAAACGGAATAGGATCAGGCCACTAAACGTTTTTTAAAGGACTCCTTCCTCTAGGGCCACACAGGGTTTCTGCACACAACAGTTTCCAGTGGCCTTGCCTGGATCACTTAACCATTCTAGGTGCATTCCTTTGGCCATGGGGGACACACTGCCCTAGGCGCCTTGGCCATTGCTGACCCGCTCCCAACCTTCTTTCAGACCAGAAGATGCCAATAGCTGCTGTTAGGAATCTCCCATCATCCCTTGATGCTGCTCTTCCATTGACATCTCATCCCACCCCCGCCCCTGCAGCGACCTTAGCCCCACCCACCTCCATACACTTCCACTGTCCAGTGTCCCTCCTGGCTGCAGAGCCGGTCTCTAATGTCAACAGCAGTGACAGAAGCTCCCAATCAGCCCCCTCTCCCCTTTTACTGAGCCACGGACTCTGGGCGAAGAGGCTGCAAAGCTGTCTGAAGGGATCTGACCTTGACTCTTAGAGGAAGTGCAGGAATGGCCATCGTTGGCTATGTGTTCTGAAAAGTGGCTGCTTGATGCGACCAGGGTGGGTGCATCAGCGAAGAGGATGGGGGCGGGGTGGCAATCAGACAGAAGCGTGGGGCAGGAGGGTGGGCACCATCTGGAAGACATCGTCCCTGGGACGGGGTGTTTAAGACACGATTTCAGAAAGGGCCATCCATCCGTTGAGACTCCTTCTCATTTCCGTCCCAAATGCACTGCCTGGTGGTCCCTGTGGAGTTACAATTGTCATCTTCATTTACTTCCAATTAGTAAGTGGAAGTAGCTACTCATAATAGGATTTATTCAATTTTCGGCTTTCAAATCTAGAGCACGGATTTTCAGTCAGTGGGTCCCTCCATCGCCCTCTCCAACAGTAAACCACCGTGTCTTCAAAGGATTGTTATTTTAAAAAGCATCTTTATGGAGCATAATTGTCTTTGGACAAGAGGGGAGGGGTGGGTGGGAACCTTTTCTTTTCCGCAATGCAACTACAGAAAGGAACGCTTTGCAAAATGGTCTTAGTTACTGGAAATGTGTTTCTGTGGGTGGAAGGGTAATGGCGGATGCTGAAATGCTGGAGCTTATGAAAAAGGAGTCCTAGTGGTGCTGGGGGGTAAGTGTTGGATTGCTAACCAGAAGGTTGGTGGTTCAAACCCACCAGCCACACCTCAGGAGAAAAATGGTGCTGTTTGCTTCCGTGAAGATGTACAGCTTCAAGCAATGTAAAGTCGATTATAGGCAGATATAGTTAGGCTAATTGCAATATCTTATCATGGGTTAGGAGCCCTGATGGAGTCATACTAACTAGTTGGACTACCATCCACAAGTCCGCAGTTCAAAACTAACAACTGCTCCGAGGGGACGGGAAGGGAAGGGGGAGATCGGGAAGGGAAGGGACGGGAAGGGACGGGAAGGGAAGGGACGGGACGGGAAGGGAAGGGACGGGGTGGGGCGGGAGCTAGCTTTTCATTTGAGTAACTTACCAGTTACAGTTTGGAAAACTCACAGGGGTGACTCTATCATCCATGGCAGTGATTTCTGCTTGACCCATCTTAAAAATTGTTTCCATTTTTTTTCTTTTTTAAATCATTTTATTGGGAGCTCATACAACTCTTATCACAATCCAGCAATCCATCCATTGTTTCAAGCACATTCTCAAAGCATTTTCTTTCTGCTTGAGCCCTTGGTATGTTTCCACTTTTAATGTTTTATGTTTCCATGTTTAATGTCTTATGCTTTCCTTTAGTGGGCATTTTCTATGTTTTGTCTAGTGGTTGTTCTTGAGTTGTTTTCCCTTGTTTGCTTCCTGTGTGTATTTTGTATGACGTTCTATAGATGAGGCCCAGGATAGGTAGAGCTTGGAGACAGAATTGGACTGATCACCTAGGGACCTCGCAGGGGAGGATGGGACAACCGGGGAGCTAGTGACAATGAGTGCAAGAAGAATACGTTCTGAACTGACATTGGTGATGATTGTGCAGATCTTAATGTAACCGGACGATTAAACTGAATGGTATGTGATGCATATCCTAATTATGTATATAATGTGTATAATATATTATGTATATATGTGTGTTCGTATAAGAACTATCTGTCTATAAAAAATTTACAGCCTCCAAAACTCTCTATAGCAGCGGATCTTAACCTGTGGGTCTCGACCCCTTTGGGGGTCGAACGACCCTTTCACAGGGGTTGCCTGATTCATAACAGTAGCAAAATGACAGTTATGAAGTAGCAATGAAAATAATTTTATGGTTGGGGGGGCACCACAACATGAACTGTATTAAACGGTTGGGCCATTAGGAAAGTTGAGAACCACTGCTGTAAATCGTGTTTTTTTTTAACATTGTATTGAGGGCTCTTACAGCTCTCGTAACAATCCATACATCAATTGTATCGAGCACATTCGTACATATGTTGCCATCATTGTTTTCTAGACAGTTATTTTCTATTGAGCCCTTGGTGTCAGCTCCTCTCCCCCCAACCTCCACCCTCGTGGCCCCTTGACAAATCCTAAATTGTTATTATTTTCATATCTTCCACCAACCGCTGTCTCCCTTCCCCCTCGGTTTCTGTTGTTCCTTTCCCCGGGGGTGCGGTTATGTGTCGATCATCGCTATCAGTCACCCTTCCTCCCCTCCTCTCCCCACTTTCCCCCTGCCCTCCTGGTAATGCCACTCCCATTCCTGTTCCTAGATTCCGTGTATCCTGAGCTCTTACGTCATATCTGTATCTGTGCACAAGCTCCGGTCAAGCGCGCAATGAAAGGCAGGACTGGGTTCAGTCTTTACAGGGACAGATAGCCTCACCTTTTCCCCATGGAGCGGCTGATGGTTTTGAACCACTGGCCTTGCGGTTAGCAGTGCAGAGATCACTGAACCGTGCCACCAGGGCTCCTTTAACCTGGGAACAGAGTCTGAAAGGGGGCAGCCAGTGCCACTGACCCAAAGCAACCGACTGAAAGGGGTCCTGGGGCCTGGCTGCTGGAGATCGATTCCAATCCCGGGTAAAGATTTCCAGCCCATCTGACCTTGCTGGGGGACCTCATGGCTTTTTGTTTTGTGTTGTCTGCACAGGGAGAACCACCCTGGGGCTAGGCCCAGGCTCCCCTCTGCTTTCCCTAATTATGCCAGCTCTCATTCCATTGAACAGCTATCAGGAGGAGGAAGTCGGGGAGAGAGGGGAGCCCTGATTGAATTCTCGGAAGCTCCAAACTGCAGGGGCAAATTCTAAGCCCGATTTCTAGCTATTCTTCTGGGAATGTACGAAGCGCATTGCCCCTGAGCCCATTTCAACGCACAGGAGTCTGTGGGGCAGGGTGGAACGGCCCCCGGGGTTTCTCAAGCTGTCACTCTTTTTTAAAATAACAGCTTTATTGGCACATGATTTACATTTCATACAGTTCAATTGTTCAATCTTCAACCATATCCAGGAGAATCGTGCAGTCATTACCATATCAATTTCAGAACATTTCCCAGCCCCACTCCTCATGGTTAAATTCCCTTCGAGATGATGTGTGCTGTCACAGTCAGTTCTAGTGCTCCCTCCCTGCTCCTGCCTTCGTTTTTTATTCCTGAAATCCCCTTTCCCTTCTTATTAGCCCTGCACCCTCAGCCCTGCAGCCCCTATCTACCCCTGTATCAGTTATTATCACTACGCATCCACTCCTCCTGTGCACCACTAACTGGGAAACCCAACAGAAGCAATAAAAAACAAAATCAAAATAAGGTAGTAAAGATAAAATAATAATAATATAAAGACCAAAATACAAATAGTAAGTAAGAAAGAAAAGATCCCCATCCACATTCAAAAAACCCCGGGAAGAAATTTCTGTCATGGAACTTGTAAGAGTACTTGCACCCAGAACCTACCTATTCAGGTCAGGTCTGCAGGGAGGGAGGTCATCTGGCCATGTATTGAGTTCGATTCAGCATTTTCAAGGTTACAAGGGTCTTTGCCTGACAGCAAGACTGTTTGAGACTCTTGTCAGGCTGTTGCTCTTCAAGGGAGCAGAAAGCCTCCTCTTTCTCTCGGTGATGTGCACACGTCACATGGAATCATGGGAAGCTGCCTTGAGGTCTTTGCTGGCATCTTCTCTGATCCTAGAAACCATGCACCTTGCAGGTTGCACAGTGGAAGACAGGTACCCATCAGCCGGAAAGGAACAAAGTCGCCTTCGAGGACATCTGCTGTGCGCACCACTTGGTGACAGTAAAAAAACAGCAACGTGTCTTGTGGGCATGAACAAACAGCTGTGCCTAAATGTCCTGATCATTAGCAAGTGACTCCCAAGAGACAAGTTTATCCACTCATTCGACAGATGTTTGCTGAGTGTCTAGTTAAGGGATCAGAGCCTAGACACTTGGCAGAAGGCCTTCCCATCTGGGGGCGAGAAGAGAAGGGGTGCAGGCACAGAGGGGACGATGCTCCCGGACCTCCTGAGCCCTCACTGTCACCCCTACCTGGCAGGTTTTGGATCTTGGCCGCAATGCCACCCAACGCTTCTTCAACTGGTTTTACTGGAGCATTAACCTGGGGGCGGTGCTGTCCCTGTTCGTGGTCGCCTTTGTGCAGCAGAACATCAGCTTCCTGCTGGGCTACAGCATCGTCGTGGGCTGTGTGGGCCTGGCCTTCTTCATCTTCCTCTTTGCCACCCCTGTCTTCATCACCAAGCCCCCCATGGGCAGCCAAGTGTCCTCCATGCTGAAGCTGGCCCTCCAAAACTGCTGCCCTCAGCTGTGTCACCGACACTTTGCCCGGTAAGGAGGGGGACCTTAGTGAAGGGGGGCACCACACGTGTCCTGGAGAAGCATAGTCCAGATTGGGGACACTGCCCTAGTGAGAGTCCTTTCTTCTGATTCCCTGTCCAGCAGCCCACAGTCACCCCCAGTGGCTGAGGAGGGCGAAGGAGATCAAGGTGGAGGTGATGGTCCCAAGGGCAGTGGGCTTCCCATAGAAAAGTAGGGATGCTGGGCATCGTGATAGCCCTGGTGAGAGAGGGGCTGATGGCATGGGCACCTGCCGTGTGAAGATGCTCGTCATCTTGGTGGTGCTGGTGCTGGTAGAGAGGGGATGATGGTGTCGGTACGCACAGTGGCGTGCTTGGGAAAGTAGAAGGGCAGTGCATGGGGGGGGGGGTCCTTGACAGAACAGATTGACACAGTGGTCGCAACAACGGGGTCAACATAACCACAGTGAGCATGGCGCAGGAGTGGGCTGTGTTTCATTCTGTTGTACGTCCGGTCTCTAGCAGTCAGAGCCAACGCGGACGGCACCTGGCAACAGCGTAACCTACGCTGAAGATAAGCTTTGATAAAGATGGTGTCCATGGTCGTCGGGATGTGGTCATGGGGGTGAGGGTACCAGCAAGGCTGCTGGGATATAATGCGAAGAATTCTACTGTCTCCATAAATATTAAGAATCAGACATACTGGCTCCCTCCCCGTTAGCTGACACCCACGGCAGAAGGTCCTGAACGACTTTACACGGGTCCTTGTGGCGTCCCTGGCCCCTCTCCTTCCTGGGGCATTGACTACATGGGTTAAGCAGACCTGTTTGATGCGCTGTCCTTTGGGCCCTGCAGAGACCCACAAGGTGCACAACTACTCCCTGACCAAAGGCATGCCCAGCCCGGCCCCTCCCCGCAAGAAGACATCGCTAACTTCCAGGTGCTGGTGAAGCTCTTGCCTGTCATGGTGACCCTGGTGCCCTACTGGATGGTGTACTTCCAGGTGAGCACCCTCTGCCCTTTAGGCCTGGGGGACGCCTGCTCCCCAGTCTTCTCACGGGGAAATTCACATGGGACTGGCCCCCCCAGAGGTCTCTCGGGGCTCACCACTCGCCATGGAGTCCAAGGTGGGGGGAAAGGGGAAGAATCAAGCGAACTGCTGCTGAGGGTCCAGGCGCAAACCCCCACGCCCAGGACATTTGTGGAATTGGCAGGTGGCCTAAGAGGAGGCACCGTGGAGCGGAGTCTCCTCATCACTCTGGGGGACTCTGATGCCTCAGACTAGAGGCTCTCTGGCACTCACGTGTTCTGATGCTCTGGCTGGGCAGCCGAGGCCCAGAGAAGGGGCTACTCGAGGCCACACACAGTGCTTTCCCATGAGTTCCCCAGCCGGGTTGTGTCTCAGGATCGCTTGGGAGGCTTTTCAAAGAAATTCAGATTCCTGGTCACACCTGACGACTCAACTGGGATTGCCTGGGGTCTCAGGGGACCTGGGCGGCTCCTTTAGTAAATGTCATTCTGCAAGACTAGCGGGACAACTGCTTCCCACCCCATATTGCTTCCTAGGGGGAAGGTTGGTTAGAGAGGTGTGTGTGTGTGTGTGTGTGTGTGTGTGTGTGTGTGTGTGTGAGAGAGAGAGAGAGAGAGAAATCCGGGCACCAGTCAATCCCAGTGGTCATGCATTCATTCCCACACCCCCTTGTAGGACCCTTGAGTAAGTATAGAGCAAGACAATGTCCTACAGCTCAACCCCTCCCCCTAAAATTGTGATTGCACAAATTAGATACTAGCTAGTAATCATCAGTACACACCAAAATCAGAAGTCACAATTCTTTCTTTCCACTTTATGATAGCACAGAAAACAGGGCCACCCAGGGTCAGCCTGCTACCTGGGGGTGGCACAGAGGTAGGGAGAGTCCATGGTGGGACAAGGACGTGGTGTGGAGACTCCATGGCAGATGCCTGGCCTTGCCAGTCGTCAGGTAATGGCATTCTTCTCACTCGGTGGCCGCAGCCCTCCCCACTTGGGGTTTCCCCTGGGCCCCTCTCCGGGGAACCCAGAGCTGTGTGTGGCACCCATTCTGGCTGACAAATGTTTACCTAGCTTTGGCTATGACAACCTGTGGGCCGCAGCTTGGTCTCCGTGTGAGATGAGAACTCCCCGTGGGGACAACCGTGTCCTTATCTAACCCATCCCGCGAGCGAGGAGCTGGGCCTGCTGGAGACACTACATGGACCTCCCTCCCCGGCTCGCCCACTGCAGCCCCTCCTCTCTGCTCTGGGAGCCCCGAGCAAAGCCTGGCTCTCAATGCATGGAAAAGCCTGGTTCCTGCAGAGGCCAGGACAGAGCTGGCTGTCCAGCTGCCCTGTAGCATGGCTGAAGCCTGCCTGCCTAGGAGCTGGCCGTCTTTCTCGTTCCCACTCATGTCTGTCTCTCCCTGCAGATGCAGTCCACGTATGTCCTGCAGGGTCTCCACCTCCACATCCCCAACATCTTCCAAGCGAGCCCTGCCAATATCTCCACAGCCCTGCGCGCCCTGCCGAACAGCTACACGGTGAGTGACCAGCTCAGGGTGGGCGGGGGCTCCCTCTGAGCAAAGGACAAAGGAAGTGGCTTCCACTCTCCCCTCTCCCAGCCACCAGGATTCTTGGGATACAGAAGGGTACCTGGAGGGTGGACAAGCTTGGGCCAGATGTCCTGCCAGGATGCCCAACAGCTCAAGAGAAAACAGCCAACTTCCCTTGCATGGAAAAGAGAATTCACTGCCCCATTTGCAGCAGGGCCTCAGATCAGGCCAATCCAGGCACCTATTTGACTCAACCCCTATTTTCTCCCTTGCTGGGACCCCCTAGGAACCCCGCCCAGATTGCCATCTTTCACCCAGACTCTTAAGACCAATTCATAATATCAAAGCTGTTCAGAGCTGGCAGATGCATGGCATACTTGCCACCACATCCCTATTCCTTGCCCATAGCAGACATCATTAATCAATCTCAACAGTGTTCCACGCTGAATCCAGGGATCTTCTGGGCAGCCACCACCAATTGATAGATGTTAGAACTTGCCATCTCGATCAACCCCTGACCAGCGCCACAGCTGAGGAGGCTGAGTTCAGGGCTGACAGTGGGTCTCCTGGAAAGTCTGGAGTCCAGGTCTCCCAACCACAGCCCCCGACCTCCCTCCTCCCAGATCCCGCAAGCCTGGCTCCTCCTGGCCAACGTGGTGGTCGTGGTAATCCTGGTCCCAGTAAAGGACCATTTACTGGATCCCTTCCTGGTTCGGCACAACGTGCTTCCCTCGACTCTGAGGAAGATGGTGCTGGGGATGTTCTTTGGCTTTACTTCTGTCATTGTGGCAGGTGAGTGGATCTGAGCTGATAGGTCAAGTCGGGGGAGGAGTGGCTTGGGTCCGTCTGGGTGTGTGATCGAAGGGGAGGGCGGTGCTGGCTTCTCTGTGGACCTGTGTCAGGCATACCTCCACCTTCCCACAACCATAAGAGCTGACTGAGAACCTCCTCAAAGAATCTAGCCTCCCCTGGCTTTCACCGAGAGTCCCGAATAGGTTCCCTGGTGGGGCTTCAGGTCCCTGAAGGCAGGGATCTTGATCTTTTTGACCCATGGCTCTATTCCTAGAACCCTGATGGCACAGTGGCCTCAGACCTCGACTGCTCACCGAAGGGTGGGCAGTTCAAACCCACCAGCTGCTCCAGTGGGAGGAAGATGAAGCAGTCTGCCTCTGTACAGGTTTATGACCTAGGAAACCCTGGAGGGGGGAGCATTCTACTCCATCCTTTAGGCTCAGAGTCAACTCAAAGGCAGTGGATTTGGGTTGGTTTCATTTGTGGGTGGCTATCTCCCCAGAGCCTAGAACAATGCTTGTAGGTACCCACACGTGGTAGAAGAAGGGATTCTCCAAGCGCAAGCAGCCACTTAGTGGCAAGCAGGGAACTTTCCCGTTTTTTAAGTGAAGTATTATCGATTCTCTTCTTTCTTCCATCTCCAAAGGATTTGAAGCCACTTATAATACAAAGGAGCCTGGGAGTTGGTGGGTGGTACTAGTTGTTAAATAAGCGTTGTCCTCCTAACCCAAAGGTGAGGGGCTCCCATCTACCCAGAGTCGCCTTGGACGTGAGGCCTGGCAGCCCGCTTCTGGTCAGTTGCAGCCTTGGACACACGGCGCTGCTCACCCGGGAACTTCGGGCCCAGGGGAAGACACTTCCCATGCAGCCGCAGAAACCTGAGTTCTTTACACTCAGAAGGGCAGGACCTGGGGTTCCTTTGGGTCTCCAAGCATCGTCTTTCAGCCATTCATCCCGCCAATGCTGGGCTGGGCCTGCACTCTGCCTTCCGGGAGTGTGGTCTCGTGGGGTGTTGTTGGCGAAGCAGATGAAGGCTACAAACACTATGCCTGGATCTCAAGAAGGGAGTGGGGCCAGCCCTTCGTTCAAAAGAGAAAAACCAGTCTAGCTGCTTTTTCAGCCATGTTGTTAGGTGCCCCTCATTCATAACGA